ACTTATATAGTATAAAAATTAACAGTGTATATTTCTATATAGGGTTCACCGCTAAAATATAAAGAAAAATCACACCCACCGATCTCAATGTTGATACAATATCTATTCTTTCACTGTTTGGCACTTTTTACCATAGAATTGATTAATCAGATATATATTACTAATTTTAACCGGGTGCCCACGGCTTTGTGGTTTAAAGCCACATGATCATGTCTATTTTCGAAAAAAATTCATTTTAAAAAAAATCATTTTAATTTTTCTTCCAGATATTAAGACCTTTGAATGTGTTTCGTTACTGTGTTTTATTATTATTATTATAATTATAATTATAATTATTATTATTATTATTATTATTATTATTATTATTATTATTATTAAAATACGACATAATGCACATGTTCATGTATTGTGTATATACAGTCCTTAACACTGACCATATGGGACGAGAGTCCGTCTTGTTGGCCTGGTATCCGTGATGGAGTCATGCACTTGATTATTCCTTGTCAATTTGAATAAGACTCTATATGTTTAAAGTCATTAGTCCACCAATACTGTAACAAAAATGTTTTAAATTATCTCTGTCTAGACGTTGACAATGGTCGTGTGACTAAAACATGTAAGTCTTGGTAAAATCTGACTCAAGTTCAGACCTTGTTATGTTGTACATAATTTTATTTACTCAGACAGATGATAGCACAAAATCTAGGATGTAGGATTTATTTAAGCTGTCCGGTCAATTCTATAGGGAGATGCGTTGGACTGTGAATCGGGATATCCGAGTGCGATTCCCAGACGGCTTAAGTCACTTCCGTTGTGATTGATTATGGTCATTCGCACTGTACCTCTGCTCTGGCATGTACAGAAGTAATCAGTTCCTTGCGAAAGTGAAATCAACTAGTACTGGTAAACTGCTTGACAGCCTGCCCAGGAACGATGCGGTGGCTAGCTAAACGTACTGTGCTCTGGTAAATTCATTGTGGCTTACTGCCGTGATACAGAGTGAGAACTACAAACAACGCTAGGTATATTTGGTGACTGAAATCTGTTCTAAAGAACCCTCGTTATACATTATTGCCCTCGCTGATGTAACGGAACGGTGATGAAACAAAAAAGAACGCAAGGTACCACCTACACGTAACGTATACAAGTATAAACATTCCCGCAATAAATAAGTAGAACGGTGATAAGTCTATTAGGGTAACATAAACGTTTAATTTTCTGTTGTTGATTGCCGACAACGACCAGTAATGTCAGTCGTCAGAAATCTTTACTGCGCCTAATTTTCACCAGTATGAATGGACATATTTATATCGGACTGTCCAGAGCCAGCAGTCTTTACTGGGGATGGCGACGCCCCTGCTCCTTTTTCGAAAAGGCGAGAAAATGGACTTTTCCGAAGTCATCATCAAAATCACATTGTTGATACGCTCACAGACATTTTGATGTATGTAGAACTCCAAACGTCTTAAAAATCCAAATAAAAATGTGTTGTATATACTATTATGTCAATCGTAACCAAATATGCGCTGTTCTGAAAAAAAAATATATCACAACGTCTTTATAGACGTTGAAACATGTCTTTTTTATAATGAAATTAATTGGAAAAAAACGTAGATGCATTTTAACAGTTGCCACACGGTGCAAATGTGAACAAATACAGTCAAACTTCCATATAGTACCAGAAACATACGAAGAGCCGATGAACATAGTCATGTTCAAAGAACGCTACAACGAAACAATTAACTGACACCTTATCATTTAAAGGAGCGCTGAACATGTGTATCAAATAAATATTGCGGGCATAACTGAATATTCTGGGCATATTTTATCGACCTCTGCTTACACGTACTGTACGTATAACTCAATGTTTCGAACACCATTCATTAATTGAATATCATTTATATGGCTTATTTAATTAAATATTGCGAACACATTTAATTGAATATTGTTGGCTTATTGTACGGACACTGTCACATTTCATTGATAATAGTCCGTACTTATCTATAGCACATGTAATGAATCTGTTTTGAGGGATTATTTGATGTAACATTTTTATGACATACAGCATGGATGGATATGAGTACATGTAATTGAATTGACAGATGTCGTGAGTACATTGAATAAATATCTGGATACAAATGTAGCAAAGAAAATAAAGTACGAGTGATAAAGATTACATGTTTAATTGAGAATGGACTCCGTATCATATAATTGACCGCATCCGCAGAAAAAAAATAATTTTACAGTGCCACTTTAAAGTATCACTTTAATACCCAGACCATTCTATGACATATTATTTGTCTTTTAAAATACCGCTGTATTGTTCTTTTCTTTCTATCTTAATTTTTTTGGAAGGGGTGGTGTGCATTAAAAGTACAAAAAGAGGGAAACCTGACTCATCAGCATTATATTTACGTCTTGGATTTTTGCGACGGACGCGCCCTCAGGCGCGTTCAGAGCTAAGTCATCTACACATGGGATTTCGTTGGCTACACTCGCGCAATGTGTCCTAAACCGATTAACAGCCCAAGAAATAGTACATGAATTTGATCCTTCAAAACTCCCAAACTTTGTCTGGATATCTTAATGTCTTCCATATTCAGCCTTTTCAATTTCAAATTAAGTTATCCAAGTTAAAATATGAACGTATATTCTTGATAAAAACGTTGTAGTCCCGTAGTATTATTGCGCAATATTCAAATTACTGCTGAAACGATTTACCGCTGTCGAAAAAAGTAGGACAGCAAATTAAACTACAATAAAGGTGTAACCTCTGAGTTCCAAGACATTATTAGTAGGAAATAAATATTTCTACATATACAAAACATTATTATTAACACATTCAAAAGTTTTCGTGACTCTAGGATAACTCGCGCATTAATAAAAGAAGAACTTTTTTCGTGACTCATACCGCGGGTTTAGCTGAATACTCCAGCAGTTATTAATATATTAGATTCAGTACAATAGTTACTATAAATATCTATTTTTTAAAATTCATGTAAGAAGAGAGTTTTTTTTTCAACACTTTACCGCCATGTAGTCTTTCGTAGTAAGGAAGTTATAATATCAGTTCTACTTCCGATTCTTGTGGTTTGTTTTACATATTTTTCTAGGTCATGATATGAATTAACCTTCGCTATTCTAAAAATAGATTCTGCTTCACCTGTTCTGATTTTTGGACAGGCGATTAGGGAGTACACATTATACATTAATAAACCAGCGATAACATGCAATACTTTTAGAAATTCTATACAATTTTAAGAAGCAAACAAGTTGAAAAATGGAATTTAGTGTGAAATTGAAAAGGACAACTAAACACTGTAGTGCTTAAGTGACAGTTAAATTAAAATAAAAAGGATGTGCTCTGGCCCCTACATCTTTACCTTGTAAATAAAAAAAATCTAAACAATACACTATTAATTGCTGATGATTTTAACCATTTTTTTAATGAGACATTATCCAAGAGAAATAAAAATACAAATGACTTATATTTTATTGTCTATATGCCCACTATGATATAACACGAAGCAATTCTAAATAGCATTTTCAAATGTATAATGTATTATGTTTGAAGTTTATTTGCCTGGATTTATTTTAGAAATATTTCGTTGACAGTTTTTTTCTATTTACATATCATTTCTTAGAATAAATCGATAAGGACACTGATTTACAAGTTTGACCAGAGTTTTTAGGCATGAATTTCATTCTGTATTTAAGTGCTTGAAAGAAGAAAATCTGAATTATATCAGTTTGGGACACAAAATATATTGCTCTACAAATCTCGAACTTGTATGGAACAAATTTTCTCTGTTATATAGTTTGTGTTTTGTTTTTGTTTAAAAGAAGCCTTAATGTCTCTCCGGTTGCATGTCCGTCGCATTCAGTGCTGCAGCACTTTGATTTAAACATATTTTCATAATCCTTAACATAATCCTTACCTTTGACCATGTCTATGTTTATTCGCTCTTTCTTGGCCAAGCTTCATTGGTGTGCGCATTGTCATTTCTGGAGTGCGCCTCCGGAATGACTTGAACCATTTAAACCCAGGCATATTGTTTTAAATGGTGTAGATCTGCCAACTAAGAATTGCCTTAACCTCTCTTAGAAATTCTTGCCTAGTCAAGGGATAACCTATTTCAAGCATAAAAGTCATAAACCTCAAAAGAGTTTGTTATTTATATTTTTTGGAAAGGGTGGGGTGCATTAAAAGTAAAAAGAAAAAAACAATATAGCTTTTCAGTAAACTACATCATTTCATTTGCGACTTTCTTTGCGTTTCTTATCTCAAGTAAAAGGCTCTGAATGTGAAATAATTTGTGATTAAGGTAGCAAAGATATTTTTACTTCCATATAAAATAGTTATTCACTGTACCTGCACTATAATTGCCAAAAACGCAAAAGAAGCAAATATATAATGTGTCTCATGTATGTCGCCAATGAGTACATTTTGGAAGCTACAACATGATACCAAAAATTAAATAATAATAATAATAATAATAATAATAATAATAATAATAATAATAATAATAATAAAATAAAAAATAATAATAATAACAACAACAACAACATTTAAGCTTAATGGGTCTTTAAACTGAAACGCTAAAAAGAGAATTTTCTACTGAAAGGTAATTGCCTTAACCTTTTATGCAGTTTTTTTTCTACACATATTGAACATTAAATGACAGTTTATATAACATTATAAAAGACAAAGAAATACTGTGACAATGTTTAAGAAAGAGTGGTGTAGATTACATGATAGCTATTCATGGGTCACTTATTCATTAATGATTCATTAAAAGTTGAGAACAGAAAAGAAGAAAAAAAAACTTTTGTTTTAAGCGTCTTTTGTTTAAAGGTATTGTCATGCGGAAACCTTTGTTTCAACTTAGCATTGAAAGGTGGTTCGCTCAAAAAACGCTACCCTAAGAGTAACAAAGGGGGGCATTTATTTAGCATATTAGCTCTATTAATAATATGTAATACTATTCTTTAATAAAGTACCCGGTAATACAGTAACCTTATGAATTCTTTATTAACTAACAATAAGGGAAGACAGTGTTGTAAATAAGGAAACAATTGATAAGCCTATTTTGTCAATAAAAATCCCCAGTCATTCTAGTAGGTGTAAAATTTTCATTGAAAATTAACTTAGATCGATTCAGATTTTGGCTATTTATTTATTGATCGCGAATTTTTGGATTATCTCATTCAATAAAGTGTAAATACCATCAAAACAAACAGTAGATTTACGTGGATTAATTTCTTACAGTCAAGAGTGTTAAGTGCTTACATTGTTTTGGTTGTAAAAATAAGGCACGTGGAGATTGAGAGAAGGGTCCGGCGTGGATACCATTAAAGGACCTAAATCGGCATCTCCATATGTCATGTTTGGGATTAAATGCAAATCCGGGGGTTAAGTTTAAGGTGAGTGAAATCTTTTTAAGTATTAAAAGAAAAAAGACTATTGTTTCTTTTGATGTTTGATAAATATTGAATTGAATAAAATGAACTTGTGCTAAAATAATACAGACCAAATTTTGCGTCCCTCTCGTCAATTCGCGCTTTATTCTTTCGAGCCCATTTCGGAATATAGATAAATAAGATTCACAAAGAAATTCGGTAATATTCAAAAATGTCTAAATTTAGTTTACTCAGAAATGATTAGATTTGTTACCCTTTAAATCGTAAAAAAGCAATTTCGGTTTTATCGATTCTTTAGTGACCTCCCTTTGTTGTGAGTCGGCATTTGTAATGTTCTTTTCAGCACGTGCAGCAGTGGTGATTCTGTAATGTGACAGGAAATGATTCAGCGTAACTTATTAATTATAGTTTATTTATTGTTATAAAGTATGAAATATATGTAGTAACTATTTTTAAAAAAATATAATATCATATTGCTTTTGGCACTGTTTTCACGTGTGTGCCTATGTTTTTCTTATCAATTTATGTTAGAAAATATACAAGAATAATTCTGAATTGGGAACAAAATAAATTTACGCCTGCAACAGGTCTATGAAAATGATATCCTTAATAATTTGGAATTGTGCCAAGTTTGTGCATTTGTAATACAAGATTAAAGTACTTATCACATGACTGTGTTTGCAGATCTATTAAAGTTCCTGATTTAGGCTTTTAATTCCAATTAAAGTCTAATTCTTACCTGTAAACAAATCATGTATAGAGCAGTCTGAAAACAGGGACTTGGCAAAGTGTTTGGATAGTGTAAAAAAATCATGCAAACTACTTTATAATACTGCACATTTGTTACATCATTTTTAATAGGATAATCACTTTTCATTGGATAATGTTTATGTAGTTTTATAAAAACGGTTGCTGTCAATATATGAAGAAATCTCTCTTTTTTTTCCTCTAAAATGGAAGTTTTCCTCTAAAATGGAAGTTTCCTGTATCATAAACAACTGTTTATATAGGGCCATCTTATTATAAGCTTATAGCTTCCTACTCAATCAAAACTAGAATAAATTCTGTATAAACTAATTTCTTAATACAGACGGACACCGGGTACAAAATGGATCATGCATTGTCCAATTCAATTTGATTTTAATTAATGGCACCTTCCCTTTAACTCATGACTCATTTATAACATAAATAATACATGAATTTAAAACTACTAAGGTTATCTCTTTTTTTTTCAACAAATCACAATAAAAATGCCTTGTATGAATATATAACAATAATTATGAATATAAAGACTGACCGAAACGTCATGAAAATATTTACACTGCATTAGAAAAACAAGTTTTCGGTTAATTTGAGATAAGTCATAAATCATTTCAATATTTGTTTATTGTAGGAAATTAAAGAATACAAATTATACATGGATCCTAAGACTAAACAAAGCAGATAATCAGGTTTTGTACAAATCAATGTTGTTTATGGGCTTGTCAGAAAGTAAATAAGAAATTTCACCTTTATCTCCTGATATTAAATATCATGAATTCATGGTTTTCGCCACATATTGAATTTCTTTTGGGTGTGTTTTATGATTATAATTATTTTTGCTGCATTCCAATTGTTTTTTATTGTATTAACTAAGTTTTTGTCTGTGGTAAAATGTAGACCAAAGTTGTCTTGTACGAAAATGTACCAAATTTAGGAGATATAATGTCATTATAAAAGAGATATTTGAATAAAAGTTTGATAATTCTCATAGTAAATCCTTTTTATAAAAGCCTCTCATAACATCAAGATTACATTGTTATTATTATTAATTGTGATTAAAATGTCTTCATTTCATTAATTATCAAAATAATTTATTATTGACGAGGCCCAAAATCCTAAAAACATAAAATTTGAGTATTTTACATGCAAATTATCAACTGGAGCACTTAAGATTTGGATATAGAAGGACATGCAAATAATAAAGAAATAAAATTGAAAATCATATTATTGACCAAATCTTGTTAAGGGGGTGTGGCGGTGCCATTTTTCACAATTTACAGAATTTTTATTCTGATAAATGATCTTAAATTTTGCACACAAGTTTATGGTGCAGACCTTTACTTCAAATGGTACATAAATCACAACCAAATATTTCCTAATCCCATGATATCAAAAAAACATCAGTGGAGTCCCTTTAAATGTATTTAACTCCAGTATTATGCTTCAATACATATACAAATAAGGTTATTTGCAATGTAACTTTATATTGATATATCATACAATTGATACACAAAGTTAATTTCTAAAAAATCAGAAAACTATTTACTTTCTTTTTCAAATTAGTATATTTAAAAAATAATATGTTCAAAAAAGAGAAATTTCAAGAACCCAATTAATGCTCATGACTGATAGATTATGTCATTGGTGGCCATTTATCTTCATATTTAGATGTCAGTATTGAACATTTTATGTTTTAGATGGTATAAAGATACCCCAGTCGATTTAAACAGAAAGTAAATTTCACGAGTATTTGACCTGTCAAGATAACATCTGTTCTTATTGTGTTTAGTTAAGTTGTAAAAATATTGGAATGTTTTTACATCTATATCTGATTTTGGAGGGCTATTTTTTCCGACAGCTGGTTTTTTTTAAATTGAATATAAAAACCATGCAAAGACTAATGTCGTTTTTTAAAAGAGTCTGTTTAGTGTATGTGATATTCCTTTATTTACAATGTATTATTAAAGGCACATTTTGACTCCGAAACAAATATTTTTTTTCTTCATTCTACAATGTTTAAATAATAGAATGAATTAGATGCTTGTTACTTGAAGAAAGTAGTGATGTATGTGAAATGATTTGTCATAAAAGTAGTATTTTAACTTTCATTCAAAACACTAAATCACTATAAAGTACTTATTGCCAAAAAGCAACAGATACATAAAATTGTAATTAGCCGGTAATTAGCCATGATAAACTAATGATATTTTTATATATTTTTGGAAGGACTGTTACATATGGTTGTCTTTATCAGGCGGCTGTAGGAAAAAATGCCTGTCTCAGATACATTATGGACTGCCTCAAATTTTATAGAAAAGACTCTGGTAAAATGTGATAAAAACCAAAAATAACTGCCTCAAAGTCATCACAAACTCACTGGCTTAGGAAATTTTTAATGTCAACCATGAAATTACAGTCAGAACTTCAATTTTAAAGTCAAATCTAGATGGATAAATTGAGGGATCAAAAACCCTGCAACCGGTATAATCCTTAGACTTCTATGCCTCTTCAAGCTGTAAGAGCTATAGAAGTTTTTTTGATTGTTGAATATACATGTATATAATTTAAAAACTTTTTTTCTGTAAAATAACTTTTTTTTTTCAGAGAAACTTCATCATTTTATTTGCATCAAGTCATTAAATTTTGAAATAGTGTTATTTGATACGAAGCAATTGACATTAATTTACACATATCAAAGTGTTTATCTATGTATATCAACCAACCATACTCTTTTATCTTTGTTACAAAACCCCCCAAATCACCTTTATCACTTCAATTTTTTATTCTAATTTCCATTCACCTAATTTTAAATTTTTAATGTGGGGGACTTTTTTTGAAAAATTTGCTTTTAAAGTCCAGGGGCCCTTTAAAATTGAATTCCAAATAGGCCCGTGTTTCAAAAAATTTAATCACATTTTTAAATCATTACAAAGCGTAATTTTGCTTTTGCATCTTGTTTTTATTAATACAGAAAATGGTTTATTTGATTGGTAAATTTTGGGGGTTTTTCCTAAAGGAAAGCTAGAATTAGATCAGTGAAATTGAAATGAAATTCCCAAAAAAAAACTAGTTTTTTTTTAAAATGGGGTGAATTTTTTGTTTTCCAAAGGGGAAAAACCCTTGAGGGTGTTTATCGTGAATTTTGTGGGGGGGGAAAATGGATGTTTGGGGTGTAAAAAAATTTCACCCCTACCCAACTCTCCACATTTTCTGAATTTATCTCTACTAAACTTTTGTAGATTATATCCCTTGCACATTTTGTAGAAGTTTGATAATTTTTTGCAGAATTATGGTCGTTTGTCTTTTCTATCCTAATTATGTGATATTAACAGCTAAATAGGAAAGGTCTGTATTAATTCTTCCTAAAAGTGGAGTCTTTGGAAGCTGTAACGTAATGTGCCATTTCTCTGTCTTAAGGGATGAATCGGATCTATTTTAAATACTTGTAACAGAGGAATATTTTGATGTTATGTTTTAAGAGAACTGTCATGATTTGTCCTTAAAATTTTTTATTTTAGCACCAAAATTAAATCAAGCACAGCTAGCTATAGAACTTATTGATCCTATTGGTCATTCTCAAATTCAAAAACAGCCAATCATAGCCCGGCTACAGAATGTCCATGGACAGCCTTAAAATGACCATGGATATCCATGGATATCCATGGAAAGAGCATGGAAAAACATGGAAAAGTCAAGTGAATGGACAGTGTCCATACTAACAACATGGATAACATGGACGATGTCCATGGATAACATGGACAGCGTCCAGGGATTATAAAAATGTTCATGGACATAGTACAAAAAAACTATGTCTAATATGGACATTGTCCATGGTCAACAATCATTGCTAATACTTAGAGATTTTTTATCAAAAGTGATAGGATGGATAGCAAAAAAAATCTAAGTGCAAAAACATGAAAAATGTTTAAAAAAATCATAACTGCCATTCTTCAAAAAATTATATATTCATATTGGGTATCAAATTATTCAGCATGAAAAGGAGAAATCAAATATAGTAAGATCAAGTAGATTTTTTTATTTTATTTTTTTTTAAATTTCAAACTTCAGTTAAATGATAATATAGAAAAATAAACTGCACCCTTTTACATACCATTTCAATTATTTTAAAAAGATAATCTACTCACTACTTGTAGACTTGTTTAGGTTTGTTTGTTTTTCTTTTTTTGTTTTTTTTAGTTTATCTTTGTGAAAATAGTTTAGCTGCCATGGAAAGTATTTAATAATATACAAATTTTCCCATCTTCCGTCTTCCACTCAGCAAGTATTATTTAACATTTATTCTTAAAAAACACAAAAAACGCTTTTCCCTGTTATAGAACAGTCACTATTTCGTATTCTTTAGTCCCTTTCAATATTATTATTTGGCAGCAAAGCAGCAAACACTTCCTTTCTAGTATTGACCACCATCATTGGTTGTCCCAAGTATTCTACTGGAACAACTGTGTTGTAATCCTCCCTGTAAACATAAATGTTCATTACAAATCTAGTTCTGCAGTCTTGAAACTAAGATGAACTTTGTATATAAATAATAAATGCAAAACATAAGAAGAATAAGATCAACAAAGGAGGGCACCAATTAAAACAATACATTATAGAAATTAATTCCATAAGGTCAATTACCCAGTGTAAAGGTCCATGTATATAGTTTTTGTTATAATAATTATCCAAAGAGCGTGATTTTCATGTTTATTCTTTTATACACATTTTCTTTGTACTTTGAAAACTGCATGGACTTACCTATCAAATTATGAATGGTTTTACCTGATAATTAAAAAGGCTGTATGTGAAAATTGTCAATAACCTTTATTCCTAAGGAAAAGTGAGTGAAAATCTATTGACATAGTGTGCAACTTACCAACTATAATGAAGTTTCCATAAATTATATAGAAATTTTTTATGGCATTTGTTAAAAAATCAGTGCTATTGTATTAAATAATAATTATATACTTAACACTCACCCAATATAACTGATCTTTTGCAAGTAACTAACTCTCCTTGGTAGAATAGATCCACTAGAAACAACTAATCTCCCAATAGCAAAGACTCTTCTGGACTGGTTTTCCATCAGGTATTTTAGTACTTCAACAGCAATGGCTGCATCATTTGTACTTAATGCTTTGTTTAAGCGGATAGTGTAGGAATTCTGTTTCTTCACTTTAGAACAAGATTTACTGTACATCAAGTATCCGTTACGTGCTATTTTTGCTACAGAGATAAAGTCGTCTTTTTCTACACAATTCACACCAGTTTGCTGTAATAGTTGTTCTTTTTATTTCATCAGAAAATATATCAGTCACAGGTGTAAGTTTTATAACAGAACACTGAAATGCTTCTGAATTATTTGAGAACCTTTCCAGATTTGCTTTCCAAAGCATTTTCCATAAAGTTTCGCACTTTATTTTCAGGTTGCAACTGTTTGGCTTTAGCTGCAATTCGTTTTTGCGATTGTAGAGTCCAAAATATCTGCTTACATACATTACCAGTGCCATGAATTGACTTTTTTATCTCACCATTAAAGGACTCGAAACAAAAGCAAGACCATGCCCATAGAGGTCCCCATAGTTTAACACAGTTAGCCATGTGTGTGAGATTGTGTACATTCAAACTCATGAACCGCTCACCATACAGTCGTTGAACATTAGCCACATAGGTATGCAAGAGAATTTCAGCCCTTTTCAGTTCATCATGGGTTATACCTTCTTGAAGAAGGATATAGACAGCTTCTGCAAGGCAGCTAAAATGTGTCAAATAAATATCTGGTAACTTCTCTTTCAAGCATGGTAGTGCATAAAATAGTAACCAATTCCTAAGCTCTGATGCCTTCCAGTTTTGGTAAGTCCCTGTCAGAATTCGAGGTAACCTGTGTACTATGTATAGAGGTTTGATGCATCTGAGATCTTTATCTATATCGGACATTTTCCCTGTAATGTTGTATGGTTCTGTTGCGTGCACTTTGTCAAACCAGAGCTCTAGCATTTTCTTTGTAACACCAAGCAAAGTGCCGTGCATGTAGTCTATAACAACATTCTCTGTGAAGGAAAAGTATGGCAAGAACCATAAAACACTCTGTCCAAGCATTCCATCAGTTTTCTTTCCATTCAATCTTGCAGTTGTAGAACTATTTTTGAGATCTTCATCCGAACGAGCAGCAGCACTCTGCTCCTGACTAAGGTAAGCTCGACAGTGACCCTTTCCACTAGAGACAGTTTTACCTTTTTCTTTGCAGTATAGACATCCATATTCTCCATTGTGCATGGTGATCATCAAAACATAGGATCTTGCTTGAAGGTCCATTGTTGCTATGATAAGCATAGCTTTAATAGTCACCTCAGACTCCATCTGATCAAAGGAAAAGGTTATGCCATTCTCATACAAGTCAACCAAATCAAAAACAAGAGGCCGAAGAAACATGTTCATTTTTGGTTTTCCAACTCCCTGCCAGATGCCCCACAAAATCATGTTTTTTCTACTAAAGCGCTCTTTTGGTGGAATCTCATTGACTAAGAGGTAAACTGGCCATAGTGAAACAGAAGAACTTTTAAAGAGTGGAATCCCATCTATGAAAAGTGACAGTGTTATGTTGTTAGTGTTGTGTAAAAATCCTCCAGGTTCTTGTAACTTCCTGTACTTTAAACCACCTTTTATATCCGAAATATTTTCAGTTATGCAACTGCGTGATTCTTCAATTGATGTCCAAACACCATCCCTTTGAAGAATTTCTTTTAACTGTATTTCAATCTTTCCAGAAACAAAGTACTTAGTACATTGAGCATTGGTCTTTGTGCCTTGGCATCCTGGTGTAATGCACTGCTCAAGTTGAGTATCAAATAACTTCTTACAACCCTCACAATAGAGATGATGCATTAAGTAACTGGAGTCAAACCCGCAAGATTCTTTTAGTTTTCTTGTGCTTGTTTCAGCTATGTTATTATCAGGTAAATGCAGCTGGATAAGTTGAAGCATATCACTTATTGCAACATCAGACAAATTGTGTCTAGTAGCAAAAGCACTGACAGCCAAAGAATGTTCTGATAGATTTATTTTGCTTCTATAGACAGTCTCATTTAATGACAGCACATATATTGGAGGTTCTTCATTTTTGTGTTTAAAAATTTCAGGTTGTATTTCTGGCAACTCACTTTCCTGTTCTGTTGATAAACTTTCAGAGTCTGAGATACATGTATCTGAGTCGGATATCAGATATTCAGTATTTTCACCATTTGAGTCAAAAAGTATTTCATCTGTCGAGTCATAAACCATTTCCATATCATTTTCCATATCATGTTCAAAAAACTTTATCTGATTGAGTTGTTAGAATTTCTGCTGTGAAATCACTTAAAGTGTGGCCAGTGTCCATTACTTGTTCCACCTGGTGGTCAGTTGTGGATATCATATTTTTCTTTCTGAAAAATATAGGATACTGATACACATTTTTATACAAAAAGTGAAAAAAGCTGTGAATATCATTATCTTATTGTTAAGTACATCTATAAGCTTTCAATAGACGTATGTGCATAAGTCTTCTAAGTGTTTTTTATTGAAAAAAAATCTTGAGAAGAAAAGAATTGAGTCTTGGTATAATTAAATTTCAAGTTAAAAATCGGCTATCATTCTTAATTTTAATTCCTAATATATTATAATTAATAAAGAATGACAAAATAAAATAAAAGAAAGCATAAGTTGTGGTCACTTTAATTGTTCGTGTTTATTTTTACATGATGAATCCACAAATTAAGTTTCAGTTTGACAAGTCTTAAAGCATGAGTAGGCCAACACAGATGCTGCTGTAATGATAAGTAACACCTAACTTTAAAAATAAAATTATACCTTTTTTTATGTCTCCACAGAGTTGCCCTTGGAATATCAGAAGTTTCTGCTTGTAATTGGCTTTCATACAGCTTGTACCTTTTGACTGGTTTACCAGCTGAAAAAAGAAATATCATTACTTCATTGTCATTTTTTGAAACCGGTTTTATCATGATTAGAAATAAAGGATGTTGCCTGTACAAAGAAAATTAAATAGAATATATGATTTTTTGATATTACTAGTACTCACCACTATATTATTGTGGTAATTACTTATTAGTTCTGCAAAGGACATAATGAAATTATGAGTCAACATTCAAAGGAACCTTAGCTAAAACGACCTTAATGAAATGCCCCTTTTACAACCACAAACATCCTTTCTATCGACAGAAAGTTATTATTGTATAAATCACCTGATAATTATCTATTTAAATTAAGAAGTGAATGTACAATCTAGATATGACTTATCATTGCTTATAATAATTTGTTAGAATTAATAAATGTATACTAAGAGAAAAAACTAGAACCCCACAAGCCTATCATTGTAAAAAAACATGTTCAAACTGATTGACATCTAGTAATTACCTTCAACATTATGCTGATTTACAATATGGCTTTTAAGAGTTTGTTTCCTGCTCAAAATTTTGCCACAAGTCATGACAGGACACTTCCAGGAGTTGTCATCCTGCTTGCATTGTAAAATAAATTCTTCTTCCATCATTATACTGTAAAACCTAAAATTAAAACAAATATTTATTATCAAGGATGTGACAAATATGATATCATATAAAAAAAGGTTTATAATCCTATCATAAGTAGGTCATAATAAAAAAAATTCTCAGAAAGTAATTTAAATTATTTATATCCTCTCTCTCTGAATCTGCAATGGGTCCGCTCTGCAACTAGGAACACATGGATAAAATATTTAAGTATTTTTCACCAGATTACAATAGATCCACAAGTCTTTTTCCCAACTATTTTGATATTTTTTTATTAAAAAATAAAGGAAAAAAAGATTAGCCTACCACTTTGACTATCGCAGGATGCCTAAATTCACACCCTTATTATGTAGATCTATGTTAAAATGGCTCCTCAAATGTTACCAGTAAAGAATTTTTTTTTCGACATTTCTAAACGTCCAAGTAAAATTTAATGTATGTGGTAATTTCTTCACTTCGCTTGCATCATTAGAAAAATATACTGCAGTGTTTATAACTTGCAAATTAAAATGCTTAGGACCATCTGTTTGCCTGTATACAGTATATCGGTGTAATACGAACATGACGAAGGAAAACTTCTATTTACCTTTTCGCCATTTATTGATTTTTGTTTTTGTTGTCAATCTGTGTAATAGCCATTTACACCATTTTTCTGTGTCCCGTGCCATTTTTCAATGATATATTTAAACTGGAAAGCCTCTGTGATCACATGACGATTTATTTGTGTTTAAAAAAGATAATCTTAATGTTGTTTACATTCTGCACTGTATATACATGAATAAAATGGCGCCTAATTTCCGATACTTTCCGTAAGTGACGTAAACAAACGAACTGCTGTTAAAACGGCTGCTGAAGCTGTATTTTTTGCAGATTAGATATTATATTTATTATTATTTCTTGTTTTAAAGAAGAATAAATTAACGTGAATTTGACGAATCATTCGTTGAGCTTTTTTTTATTTTATTTTTTATGTAAGATGCTGACGTGATTGTCAGGAACCAATCAGGAACTCTTAGACTGTTTCCAGAAACTCGCGAGACCCGAGATTATCGCTAATTAATCACAGATATATTTGAAAAGGAAGCGCGAAGAGGCAACAACGTTATTTGAAAGTTTATAAGTTTTTGTTATTGTTTGATCATCATGTACGCTCTTATAGTTTGGGTTAATGATGATCCCATCAAGGGAAGTGTTGTTAAAATGACTTCTATCGTAGAGCCAAGACTACCATTAGATCAATACAAGGAAGGTCAGGAGGTGAAGGCACGATGTCAAGGCTATGGCATTTTTACTGGTGTGATAGGAAAGATTGCAGGTAAATTTTATTTTGGGTATCAAGTTTAATACAAAGTAAAATTTCTGCTGTATATTCATCCATGGCTCTTACAAATCTTAAAAAGTGCTTAACACCGAATTTTGAGTTGAAAATTTGCTTGTATTGACTAATTGAGCAGCCTGTCTATAGAGGCCAGAGGGTGAAAATCTTTGTAAGTGCTTGATTGAAGATTAAAAGATCGGCGATTCTTGTGTCATCAATCCAATATCAAAAGTAAAACCATTATTATGAACAATTAAAAATATTATTTTGCCAAGTTTCTATTATTATTTTGCCAAGTTTCTATTTACCCATAATAGTACCATAGACAAATTGCATTTTGTTACGAATAATGAGGAGTACGAAATCATACGCAAATGTGTACTACGTCAACAATTGTGTGTACAGCGTCATCGCTTTATACATTATCAGTTTATATATATTAATTCACTGTTTATCGTTTAAATAATGTCTGTTAAACCACCCAGAGGGCCAAAATAATTAAGCCCAGTTATTTTCAAGTAGTAAGTACACTTCAAACAAACTTTACACAACCCTGCATCAATTACACGGTTTACATGTATAGGCTTACAGGTGAGAAGTGACGTAGACTCTACATCATAATACCTAATATGGTAAGCATAAATGATGCAAAAAAAAGTGTGTGTAATAAACATGGTGACCTGAGTAAACTGGATTAAAGACACGTGCCAGATTTTTTTTAATGTTTATGGAGTGCAAATGGAAGATTATTTAGGCAGCATTTTTTAAATTTATCTTTCTGTTTCTGCATGAATACTTCTGTTCGAAAAATGTTGGTAACCAGAACACATTTTGGATAAACTATAATTTATAGATCATTTGGGAAGAAAAGACTTGATGGGAATTTTGGCTGATGACAGATTTTCATCACTTGTGGATAAAATCGTAAAGGAGAGAGGAGTTTCTACTTCCGTCTGCAATGAAGAGAAGAACCAAACACCTGAAAGTGGTATGCCCCCTGCTAATAAAGAGACTGGGAAGAAGAAGAAAAATAAGGTACTAAATATTAAAATAATTGTTAAAGTTTAAGATGATTTACAAACTATTTTTAAATTCATCAGGATACTTTAAACCAGTCCCACTAATTGTTCTTATTTTGACTGACTTAAAAATCTATTTGTAAAATCTAATAAGTCTGACCTTTTAAATTTAATACTTAAGGAGTCTCTGAGTCTTATATTTATATAATGCACTGGAATAGAGAGGATGCAGTTCTGAACTTATTAATGTGTGTATACTTGTCATGTTTTTGTTCCTTTAGAAAAACTAGTAAAAAATAATTGAAGCTAAAAAATTCTGAAATTATATTCATGCAAGTTTGTAGGCTATTTTTAATATATATATATTGTTACAACTTGTAAACAAAGGCATTCACAAAATTCAAGGTAAATCTTATATCATGTAAAATATAATAAGGTAAAATATTATAATTTCTTAGGAAGATAAAAATGCTGCAAAAAAAGATAGGGTTGAGCTTGAACGTGCAGCAAATGAATTGGAGCTGACTGAGCTCCAAGCATCATTGTGTACACAAAGACAACCGGCCAAAGACATGACAGAGCTCCAAGAACCATCACAGAGGCAACCAGAAAAAGGCATGGGTACCTATGATGATGACCAAAAAACCCCAACCAATTTGGAGGACAGGTACATGTATATTAAGTAACTTAAAGTTTATGACACAACTTCTTATTCATCAACTGATAAATAATGTTATACAATATTATTCGTTATATAATATGATAACATTAATTGAAAAAATGTACATAAATACAAGTAGAAACTTGTTTATAATTTATTGAGCTTATGTCAGATAGACAATATATGTGCCTGTTTAAATTTAACTTGCTTGTTGTAATTTTGTATCAATTTCAATTGTTACAAAATTTGTTAAAATCTCTGAAAACTAAACTCAAGAAACAGTTGCACAACTTCACATGCTGATCAACATTCCTGTACTGTTTCATGACTTTAGGTCAATTACTTTTTGAGGTACATGTGACACAAAAAGGGAACGGACAGACAGATGGACAGACGGACAAGGGTAAATCTAAATCCCCCAATAGTGGGGGGGGGGGGGGGGGGGCACAAAAATAGCTATTTTTTTTGTTTATCTTGTCATATGAACATTTTAGCAGATATGAATAATGTCAACTGGTAAATTCTTTTTTAGAATATCATTGCCGAGCTTATCATCAACATTAAGACAGTCCTTAGATGTTATGCATGGTACTGGGTCCCCTGAGAAAGGTATAGAAAATATTTTTACACATAATTAAGATTTATTATTTAGTGGGTTAGTTATGGTCAGTGTAACTTTAATGCACTTATGAGTGTAGCTTTTTTGTTCGGTTTTTACACAATATTGTTCAGTGTTTAACTTTAAAGCAGGCAACAGGCGGACTTGTTTGTTGAAATTTTTAAAGATAATTTTTAAAGATAATATTTTATTTTATTGTATGTATATTTTCCTTTACAATAAAATGGTCACTTGGTACATATATTGTATGTCTTTAGCTCCTGCTAATCAAGAACAGCCTGCCAAAACTCAGCCAATCAGTGTTCCTGCAGTGAACGGCTATGTAGAACAGCAAATTAATGCGTTGAGGCAGGAGCTATACCAGGCAAATGCTAGGATTGCCCATCTAGAGACTAGCTATACATGGCTTTGGAACTATGTGCAACAGGTTTGTTTGATTTTTGTTTTTTTTAAAGAGGACATACCTTTAAAGATGCTTAATGTCTGATTTTTTTCTTTCATTAAATGCATTTATAAACAATATGGTCTGAAAAAATAAAAAATACCTACCACCTCTAGACTTCCAATTCAAGTATGGATATTTGTAAATTGTTATGTAATTTTAATGTTTTTACTTAGAGTATAAAATTAAAATGTTTTAATCTATCCAAACTTCAGATGCAGTGTAATGTTCCTGTTCCATCCGAAACCGCTGGCCATAAACAAAATTTAGAAAAAGAACAGTTGTCTGCCAGTTGCAGCAGCAATCCTGATTTTCAAGTAAGTAATGCAATAATAACCATGATATTTTGATGATTTCAAGTAACTGGAATAGATCTTAAAAAAAAGCCTGTCAAATCTTGATATTACAATTTTAAATGAAATGATCAGACTCACATCCAATTATCTTTCTAACTTGACATGTATATTGACCATAATGACAGTCACTGTTCTGTCAGACCTACTTAAAGGTCAAGGTCACTGTAAAGTAAATTTTAACACGGGACATAAAATGAAAAGTGTGCTTACTTCATATTTATATTAACCTAGAACTTTGACATTTTCAGATATCTACACAAGATAATCATTCAGACATAAATACCTCTGTTGAAAAAATGATTGGCGGTTATACAATGGTATGTTTCCTATTTACTTGAGTAAATAATACAAAGGGCAACCTAGTTAATCATTTATAAAAATGGTGTTATACATTTTATGCAATTGATATTTAAAGTTAAATACTGTAAAAGAATATATGCATCATGAAAGATAATGAATTCCTATTTAACTCTTGATAAGTGTAAAGTAAAGAAAGTGCATTCTTATCAGCTTGTTTGTCAGCCTCAAATAAAGAGTAGCTAATGAATAAATTAATTTACGACTGAAATTTCTGTTGGAACTTCCTCTTTGATATGAATGTTTTATGTTATGAATTAAGCTCAAAAATGCTACAAATGATGCCAGTACTAAACTTGATAACAAAGAATCCAAAAGAACTGAAAAGGCCAATATAACATTTCAGGACCAACTGCAGAGCAAGGTTATTGGCATAACCAGCTACAGTAAGATGGCCATCGTTTTATTCCGCTTTTTGTATAAAGAGGAAGAATATGCCGGAAAGTCCTTGACAGGGAAAGCGTCAAAAAGCGGCGAAAAAAGGCCCCCTGTTGACCAAGAAAAGTTGACAGGAATTTACGGTCAGTGTTTCTTTTTTTTCTTCTTTTTTTGGTTATTTAAATTTCATTGAAAGTTTTTGAATTTCATTGGGAATTTTTAACAGGGATTAAAGATTATTTTCAGAGCCAATGGTCTTGCAAGTGTCTTCAAATTGCTACTCGTCCAGCATGTTTGCTACTCGTCATGCATTTTTGAATTGATTTTTAAAGTAAACTACCTGATTTAATAGACTCATAGAAATTCTCATGTTTAATCAATTTGTTACATAAATTTAACAAACCAAATTAGGAAATAAAGCTCTGTTTTAGGTTATGAATAAATCACACACATAGTTTAAGTGACTTTTGATCACTAATGTGAATATGAAACACCTGTCCTTGTTAAAGTATTTTTTTTTAAAAAGAAACACAAAAGACTTAAGGATAGGTATATTTTTAGTTTAAATATGTTCTTGATTTATTGCCCATGATAGATAATTTTGAATTGTTATATTCAAGGGGTTAAGTATAAAAACATTGATTTGTCAACTTAATATTTATAATATTTTGTTATGTTTCTTTGCAGATATCATCCAAAGGGAATTTTCCACCTGTCACACCAGTGGATGGTCCAGGGAAAAGCTGCGTGACATATGTTACATTGTCAAAAGCCATTTTTTTTCCTTTTTCGTGCCAAAAAAAACAAAAGCAGCGAAAAAAATAAATCTGTGTTCAAAATAAACTTGGGCCGTTTTAACAAATTCAGAACCAATAATCACAATGAGAACATTTGAGAACTTGTTTGTCTTCATATATGGTTGTAAAATAAATCTTTAATGTGTCATAATTTTAGCAGCCTTGTTAATTCAAAATCATTGTTACACTAGTGCAACTCCCAAGTAAAAAAGATTGTGTGCAACCTTTTTTTTTACAGACTTTTTAAACAGGTATCTACGCAAGAGTGATATCATGGACATTGACCATGGATGTCATAAAAGATTCCTCAAAATTGGTATTACATGGATAGAATGGACATTGTCCATGGAAAGAATGGACATTGTCCATGACAAGAATGGACAATGTCCATGGAAAAAATGGACATTGTCCATGGTAAGAATGGACATTGTCCATGGACATCATGGACATTGTCCATGGGTATCATGGACAATGGACATGGACAGCATGGACATGGATAGCATGGACCTTGTCCAGGGATTTAAAGAATTGTCCATGGACAAGTGTTTCAATACTCCATGGACACTGTCCATGCTTATATCCATGGAAATCCATGGACATTCTGTAGCCGGGTGGTCAGACTTCATCATCAGTATTTGTAATCCTTTAACTTCTTATTTGCTATCTTTGAAGAAACGTTTTTATTACTGATTTTGAAACATTTCTTTTGATACACATGAAAATGTGAAGTTTTAATATTTTTGAACTTTGGAATACAAAAACAAAAGGATTTAATTTTGATTAAACAGTCACTTTACGCTACAGGTTGGCGAAGCTCTGTAAGATAAAACATCGGTAGAAATCTGTTATAATAATCTTTGAAGTGTTTATATCACAGAAGTTAAATGGTCAGCTCACTGTTTGAAATCGCTAAAGAATGTTTTAATAAATGTATTTTTGTTTGAACATGTCCGAAGATGATATTATTTTCCATTAGTTACATGTCATGTTGTTTGTAATGTTCAGATAGCCCTTATATCAAATGTTTGATACAGGACAGTGCCATCTTCTCTTTAATCCTTACCATTCCAAATTTCATGAATGGACTAAGTCTTGCCTTAGTATATCTTTTAATCTGGACCTAAAAGCATTCATTGTTTTCAGAATTTTTTTCAAAATAAGTACTGACAGAATACAAAAAGTATCGACCATGATCAGATGGCACAGATATGCAGGCAAATCTTGGTCTGTCCTGGTGTCATGGCTATCAACAGGCTCATGCATACAGTTGTGTTTGTATTGGTTGATGAAGGGCCTGTCTGATAAACTTGGCTTCATCTATTAAGTTTATTAGCAATGCTTTCTTTAAACTGAAAATAAAAATTGAAAGAAATTTGGCATCTTTTATTAGCATAAACTTGCATCACTTTATGCATATGCTTATAGCCAATATACATATTGATATTCAATGACATGCTTTATCTATACATGTACATTTTGAATTTCATTTAACTTAGTATGCATAGATTAAAAATACTTTGACCCACGTTCAACTGGAATAACATGCATACAATTTATTTGTATTTTAATAATTTGTTTGTATTTTAATAATACAAGCAAGTAATACAAATGATATCAGCAAGGGAAATCCTGATATCAAGGAGATATCAATATACAATATAACCTTTAATCTCAGCTGGTGCTGAAAGTGATCAGCCTTAATGCCACCAGTATATAGCATGGCCAGCCTTCACACTAGACTGACCAGTCTCTATACTGTTGGGTTACTAACTTAAAAATTTTTATCTTCAGATACCCCCAAAAATTGATAATGGACATTTCCAAAAACTGATTTTTGCGACGGACGCGCCCTCAGGAGAGGTTCAGAGCTAAGTCATCTACACATGGGATTTCGTCTGCTACAATCGCGCAAAGTGTCCTCAACCGAATAACAGCCCATGAAATAGTACATGAATTTGATCCTTTAAAACTCACATTCTTTGTCGGGATATCTTAAAATCTTGCATATTTAGCCTTTTCAATTTCAAATTACTAGTAAGTTATCCAAGTTAAAATATGAACGTATTTGATTGATAAAAACGTTGTAGTCCCGTAGTATTATTGCGCAATATGCAAATTACTGCCGAAACGATTTACAGCTGTCGAAAAATTAGGACAGCAAATTATACTATAATAAAGGTGTAAGCTCTGAGTTCCAAGAAATTATTAGTAGGAAATAAATATTTCTACATTATACAAAACATTATTATTAACAAATCAAAAGTTTTTCGTGACTCTAGAATAACTCGCGCATTAATAAAAGAAGAACTATTTTCGTGACTCATACCGCGGGTTTAGCTGAATATTCAGCAGTTATTAATAAATTAGATACACTATGGTTAGTATAAATATCTATTTTTGAAAATGCATGTAACAAGAGAGTTTTTTCAACACTTTACCACCATGTAGTCTTTCTTGGTAATCTTTATTGAAGGAAGTTATAATATCAGTTCTACTTCCGATTCTTGTGGTTTGTTTACATATTTTTCAAGGTCACGATATGAGTTAACATTCGCTATTCTAAAAATAGATTCTGCTTGACCTGCATGTGATTAGGGAGTACACATTATACATGTAATAAACCAGCAGATACTTACTCTGCTTACATGCAATACTTACAATTGTAAGAAGCAAACAAGTTGTAAATGGAATTTAGTGTGAAATTGAAAAGGACAGCTTAAGTGACATTTAAATTAAAATAAAAACAATGTGCTCTGGCCCTTGTAAATAAAAAAAATCTAAAAAATACACTTTAAATTGCTGATGATTTTAACCAAAAATATTTTTAATGAGACATATCCAAGAGAAATAAAAATACAAATGACTTATATTTTATTTTCTATATGCCCACTATGATATAACACGAAGCAATTCTAAATAACATTCTCACATGTATAATGTATATATTATGCTTGAAGTTAATTTGCATGGTTTTATTTTAGAAATATTTCGTTGACAGTTTTTTTCTATTTACATATCATTCCTTGGAATAAATCGATAAGGACACTGATTTACAAGTTTGACCAGAGTTTTTAGGCATAAATTTCATTCTGTATAAGTAGAAAATCTGAATTATATCAGATTGGGACACATAAAATATATTGCTCTACAAATCTCGAACTTGTATGGCTGTTATATATTTTGAGTTTTGTTTTTTTTTTCTAAAAAAAGCCTTAATGTCTCTCCGGTTGCATGTCCGTCGCATTCAGTGCTGCAGCACTTTGATTTGTTGCTGATTTCTATAAAAAATAATCTCAATATACAGAATAGAAAACTATATCTTTGCTAAAAATATATTGTACAAAACTCATATGTCAAAATGGAAATGGACAATGAGAAAAGTTATCTTATAACTTATATGGCAGGTGTTGATATATTAAACCAGGATGAAATTGTTATGATTAAATTGGAATAAAAATTAAACTCAATATACCTGTAGCTTTATCTAAAATTTTATTTGTTTAGTTATGAAATCATAAAAGGTACGCTGTGACTTTGATTGACAAATTAACTTTGTTTAAATGATGAATTAAAGCAGTTTGTTCTAGGTAATTGACCATGGTGAAGCGGTACATTATTTTGGCACATCATTAATTTTAAAACTTTACTATAACTGAACAGTTTTACTTTTAAATACATTTATCATGGCAATTACCAATGTTTATTTCAGTATAAATATTTGTGTAAATACTGTAATATGAAAATCTAGTAAAAATCTTGCCAATTTTCTTCAGATTTTCTATATGAAGTTGTGAAAGTGAAGATTTGCTTGTTTTTACGTAAATGAAGAGAATTTAACATCAGTTTACAATCATTTAAACAATTAACTTTTGAAATTTATGCACATTTAATGCGATTTTTACATTTCCTTTTGTAGTGTTGGTTGTGTTCGCTGCGAATTAAATGAACGATAAGATCTAAATGACACAAAGTGATGGACTCGTTAATGTACCTATAGGGACGTTCCCTCATGCTGAAAACGTGAAAATGGGTTTACCGATAATTTAATGATGAATTTTCAAAAGGCTCGTAACAACAGTAATGGCTCAGGGTTTCTGACACACTCGGCGGTCAATGCAACTGGAAAATTAATAGTTACCATTACATCGGTCAGCTTGTACATACAATAATCAGATATTGCGATCTTACGTATAGATAAGATTATTATTGTGAAGACTCGCCTAGGGCGAAGAATTGTCCACTTTCAATAATAAAGACATGGGACATGGTTTTGGGTGACAATCATTAATGGTTTAAGACAAGAAATTGATGGTTTTACAATAGTGCGTGGATTTTGGGATTTTACGTAATTGTTTAAGGATAATCTTGGGATTTATGTATATTTAGTTATTTTTTGGAGTAAATTATGAGGATTAAATATTATTAACACAGGTAAATGGGAATATTTGTTATCATGTATATTTTAAATTCATACTAAAAATATACTGGTATATATTTTTTTCGAATACAGAAATTTTGTTACTTTATAGGATATCTGCTGATGTAAAAACATCAAATCACAAAAAAAAGTTTTTAAAAAATACATATATTTCATTTGATTGTTTAGCATATTATGCAATAACTAGTGATTATCTTATGAGAGCTGTGATCTAAATTTGCTTATAATACAATATCTGAACTCTGTTTCATTATTTATTTATCTGATTTTGTGTTTAATTGATTTTTATAGAATCATTCTATACTTTTATTTAATTATATGTAATGTGTAATGCATAAAAGTATTCTTCGACATTTAGAAATATACAATTGTGTTGTTGTAATGATTATAGTTATGTTTTGTAAAATTAAAGAAAATCTATCAAGTGTTGAATAAAGGAAAATTATTAACCACTCTGAAAAGGCCTGAGTGTTGAGATATTAGAAACATGCTCTTTGTAAAGAGGTGGTCTCTTAAAACAGGTTAATATGCAATAAAGATCAAAGAGAAGAAAACAATTTAACCTGTAATGATGGATTTTCTAATTGAGGTCAATTTAATTTAATGGAGGGGATGTTTGAAGCATGCAATAGGTTATCTTGATTATATACATACTGCTGAAGGCATTTTAGTTTTTACCAGAAGATTGAAGACAATCTGTTGTAAAACTTTAATATATAAGGTAAAATGAGATTAGATCATTTAACTTTCTTTTGTGGTCCACTGCAATTTTATTATCAACCCCATCATCAGCTCTGAGGCCCCTTTATTGCAAGGTTTATTTTTGTTGTTGTTTATCGCCACATCCTTTAAAGATTGTTTTAAAGATGCATTTCTCTGAAGTGATTAATTTGGTGGAAATGAATTAAAATGGGATGATATAATTATACATAGCTTTAAGTCATAATGTCACAGTGTAAAGGTTATACAGTGTATAGTACGTGACTTTCCAAATTTACTGGTGAAAGAAGTCCATAGGTGCCCTTCTGAGCATTATTTTTACAGCACATTTAGGCAAATGAGAACTGAAGTCTAAACATCTAACAACTTTCTGTATCTGGAAAGAATCCTTAGTCCTAAGTGCACTTTGAACCTAAAATAGCCAGTTGTGAGTCACAGGCCACTGCAATATTAAAGACCATTCCTGTAAAAAAAAAAATTGCAATAACAACCAAATATCTGGACATCTTTTCTAACTTAATCGAGATATTTGTCTTCTGTAGCTTACTTTCTATTTTCTGTTATGTACTTTGTTAAACATCTCAAATAATAACATCTCTCAAATTCATAACCAATGCCCTAATTGGCAGTGAGTCATATCTTTTCACTTTAAATAATATTTGGTGTCTTTTTTTCGAGTATTGCCAATTTGTCAGAATTAAAGATGAATTAAAGTTGACCATGCTTTGAACGCTGACGGCCCTTTTTCGTATTTTGTTGTATTTATCACTTTAAAATCATAATAACTTAATTTATCTTCTCTTCAGTCTAATTTTTATAAAGACGTGTAAATATTTTGACAATATATCTTTCAAGATAAAATTTTCAGTCGATGTGCTTTTGTGTGACAAACTTTCAAATTCATTGGTCCAGTGTTGTATAAGAATTTGCGGTGTAATTTACCATTTCAAGGACCTATTTTTCTAATTATGGTGGTACTTGGCACAACACGCTTGTAATATTCTTATAACGGTCATGTGATACGTTAACTCTTGTTATAAATTCATTCACCATATTGATGGACAACTTCAGTACCAACTTGTTCTCTATATGTCTGTAATGAAGCGTCACATAATGGCCACTGTACAGATGACCTTTCTAACCCTAAAATTACTGACTTTAAGTAATGAACTTGCTTTGCTTTGAAATTAGAATAGTCAATTCAAAGTTTTAGGGATTTCAATATTAAAATACAAAAGTTGAGTATATCCAGCCTCGTCAGACTGAACACAAGTGCAGGCTACTTACTTTTGGTCCAAGCCGGCTAAGGGTATAAGAAAAGTTGGAGACAACTTCACTTTACCCAGCTAAATTTGTGTTATTTGCATTATACAGTTTTGATTTTGTTTTTTGATTTGAATGTTGATTCTAGTTTGTTCAGTTAAGATATGTTTATATTTTAATTATACTTAAGTCTCAGAAAGATTATAAAGACCTGATGGCATCTTTAATGGCAAGTCAGTATTGCCAAAAAATCAATTTAACAGTTACTATGACCTTGACCTACATGATAAAGGTCACTTTTAATGCAGATAATATACCATTTCTGTTACTGTAATGAATATATTGTGTGTCTTTTTTTTTTACAGCTGGGTGGGGAAGATGGGTGTGAGCTGAAGAGGGTATTGGCCCTGGCTGTGATGGAATATAAACACATCAGCAGTTATCGTGCCATTGTAGCGTCTACCACGGCCATTCTAAACGCTGAACATCATGTTCACCCAGCCGTCACTGAAGGTGTTGATGGGTCAGCATATACAGGTAAAGTACAAATATTTGAAATTCTATTTTGTATGTTTGAGTAGTGCTTTCATAAAAATATTTTTTTAATGGAATTTATAGCAGTTCTGATTTGAAGGCATGATAGTAAAAAGTCTGTATGCCACTTTACTGTTACTGTAAGTCCAAGCAGTTCTACTAATATTACCCTGGTTACCCGTTCTTGAAGGTCTGGTGATGAGCTCTGTGTCTAGTTGCATGACTTTGATAGGACACTAATGAGCCCCTTGTGCATTTTTATATCTGCTATATCTCTATTTCAAGACCTTAATATTTAGTTTTATTTAAGCATTATATGGTTTTAAATTAGTAGAAAACGGCACCCATCTGATCATAGTTCCACTGGCCACAAGCGATACAAATCAAATATGGTTGGTTTTTAAAATAATAATGTTGTATTAAGTTTGAAGCTATGTTTAACTTTTTAAACCCCTCAGCTTGTCCGTCCGGACGTCTCCCCGTCCATCCGTCCGTCAGTTTTTCCTTGTACGCCCAATAACTTGAGATTCCTTTGACCCACAGTTTTCATATTTGGCATGGAGGTTAGTCATGATTAGTAGATGACCCCTATTGATTTTGTGGTCACTGATTCAAAGGTCAAGGTCGCAGGGGCCTTGACTTTAAAAAGCTTGTCCGCCCAATAACTTGAGAGTCCTTTGACCCACAGTCTTCATATTTGGCATGGAGGTTAGTCATGATTAGTAGATGACCCCTTTTGATTTTGAGGTTACTGGGTCAAAGGTCAAGGTCATAGGGGCCTTGACTAAAAACACCTTGTCCACCCAATAACTTGAGATTCCTTTGACCCACAGTCTTCATATTTGGCATGGAGGTTAGTCATGATTAGTAGATGACCCCTATTGATTTTGAGGTCACTGGGTCAAAGGTCAAGGTCACAGGGGCCTTGACTTAAAAAAAGCTTGTCTGCCCAATAACTTGAGATTCCTTTGACCCACAGTCTTCATATTTGGCATAGAGGTTAGTCATGATTAGTAATTGACCCCTATTGATTTTGAGGTCACTGGGTCAAAGGTCAAGGTCACAGGGGCCTTGACTAAAAAAACTTGATTTTAAAATTTTCACATTCGAAGCATGGAGAATACATATCTTAGCAATGCACTGGCTTAGTAACCTCAGATTTGGCAAGGTGGTTATCCTTGAGTTCTAAATGTTGATTGTGACAAAGTGGTATGCGGGGGTATTCACGCCATGACAGTGGCAGTTCTTGTTATATCTGCCTGCATGAGCCGTGTCCTATTGGCATTTGAATAACTTCTTTGGGTATCCCTACTGACATGTTCCTAATGTGTGAAAAGGCAGACTTGGACCCTTGTATAGTCAAGTCAGTCTTACTTCATACAAATACTAATGGTTTCAGTCTTCTCATTATCAAAGCTATAGGTCTTGAAGGGGTTTTTGTTTTAACAAAAGTGCATTTCTTTCTCCATAAAATGATTCATTTTTCAGATGCAAATGATTTATTTATTAGATTCAGACTGCAGGATTGTTAGTAAACTCAATTAGAACAAAAATGTTTTATCTTGATTATTATCTGGTAACAAATAAACTGCAAAAACATTGAGAAATTTTACATAGGTGGACTTGATTGACTTGCTCTTTAACATCTAAATTTTTCTTTTGACACTAGGTCCAGTCAATATAAAGCTTTTGTTTTTGAGGTACTTCATCAATTTATTTTTCGATGTATTCAACATCAATAATTAATTTATCATGCCAGGAGATAATGTTTTTGAATATAATATTTGTTTTGATTATTATGATGTAAATTACACATATTAATTTGGCACTTACACTCAATTAAACATTATCATGTTTTCTCATCAAATCATGATAAATAGATATTGTAATATCTCATTTGCTACAAATTATGAAAATTATGAAAACAATCACCATTATGCTGTGTGCCTCACTGTAAGAAAGTAAACTGAATATCATCTTTTAATAGAACAAAAAGTAGTCAAAATATTACTTTGTTTACATTTTGCTACTTTTATGACAAGTAATTTCATATTTATCACAACTTTCTTCAGCTAACAAGCATCTAACATGCTCTAAAACCATTATTTAAATGTTTTAAAATTCATTTTTACTCTTCCTAAAGAAGTACAAAAAAAAAAAATGTTTCTGAGGCATAATGTGCCTTTTAAGTAATTCTGTTACATATCAATTTAATTAATAGGTAATATCTAGAATCAAGTTATTTCCAACATGTTAATTGTTATACATATAATTGACTAAGTACATGTAAATTATAGTCATTGTGTTATATCTAAATTTACCACAACACTAAAAGTTGTGTCCATCATTAAATTGACCGATAATACTATGACTGTCAACACACAAAGCTAAATATAACAAATCACAATGTGTCATAATTAACAGGCTTATAATGCATATTTTCATACCGATGACAAATCTATAACATACCTAGCAAATCATCTTTGATCTTTTTATGCATTATTAGTAATATTATTAATAAATAATGGTTTCTTATAAGTAATAATAAGGTATTTGTATTATGTAACAAAGCTAATTGGGTTTAATTGTTGTTGTATAAATTAGATTATTGATATTTTAGTTACGGTAAATACGAAATTGACATGTTTTGAGTGGCTTCTATTTAAATACACTATTCTGAATGAGACTGCTTGTGAGGGGAACACTGTAGAATTATGCAATTAAAAGTTATTTCCCTTTGATTTTCTTGTCCATTTGTTAACTATTGTGAAAATTATTCAAAATGAGATTTGTGGCTTATATTACAAATATAATGTACATGGGAGTTGATAATTTATCTTTCTTTAATAATATCAGCTTCAATTAAATATGACATAAAATTGCTGCTGTAAAGTAAAACCCAACTTTTTTCTTTGAAGTCACACCTTATGCAAGGTGTCAATTTGCATTCACTGCCTAATTGCGTTAGTTAAATGGTTTTACACATGATATCAGTTGCCAGAACAGTATGTTATCAAAACTGACCTTTTTAATTGTATTACAAAAGTGGGACTTGATCATAGTTTTGCTAAAAACTAAACTTTGTTAAGCAGCATGCCTCCAGATTCATTCTAATTTTCACAAAAATTTTAAAAATGTAGGTACTATTTAAAAGTTAATAATTGTGAAGTTAACAAAGATTGCAAAAAACACTTACAATCCATGTAAATTACCAGGATGAGGTCATAATGGGCAAAAATAACCCTCACTTTGTATGTGATGCATTAGTAATATGGTGATAAGTTCTGCAAAATAAGTCTTTATGTACATTACATGTAAATCATTACTTGAATTTCTTTGCTTTTCTTAAAATCTTATTACATTTTTCTCAATTTGATATTCTTGAAATATTTTTTTCTTATCTGGAGGCATGCCGAGCTTTAAGTTGAAGTATTGTTTAAAGGTCCATTATATCAGTGTATTTAATGGCAACATTTCTGTTACTTGGTCTTGGTCTTTACATTGAACACATTATGTAATACAGTATTTTATGTTCAAACATTCAGGTGATCTATCAAATGATATATGTGTATCTATTTTTGTTTTGTTTATTTTTAGCACTGGACCACAGGCTGTATATTGTACATGAATTTTTACGTACGGAGAAAGAATATTTTAACCACCTTCAGTCTGTTCTAGAGAACTATGCTGAACCCTTTAGGTAAGATTTGATGAGTTTTTTGTATTGTCACTGTCTTAATATTTACTAGTATGTAATTGCAATAATATCATAAGTTACACACTCTGGCGCCACCCCAACCCTCCACACACATCCCTCCTATCTTGGAATAGCAGGGACTTTGATATTTTGATTAGCAATACTAATGATGAGGCCCATCCTGTGGGGAAAATAATATGATAAGAGCATGCAAAACGTCTTCATGCAAAACGAGCACATTAATACAACAGTGTTAGGACATGGAGACGGAAGGGAAAAACTTTTCCTTTGTTATCCCTACACTGCCCGAGAGTTTTGCTGTCAAGGTTACAACTGACTAGTGCCCTATGTATTGTTTTACACTTGTCACATAGTGGCCTTAGGATTTGAAAACTTGCTACTTAAGTTATTCAATATATGCCTGTGCGTTTGATTCAATTTTATTTAATGACCTTGAAATTGTTAAGATTTACACTTTTCACCTTAAGATCATCTTGTTCAGTGTTCTTTTAATTGTTAGAATTTTATGACATTTGACATATTCTTTCCTAATAATGCGAGTGTAAAAATTGCTTCAGATGTCATCTGGAAAAAGAATGATTGTAAAAGCATGAAGAAAATAAATACTTGATAGCTTATATTTCTAATCATGATTTATTTACATAAGAGAATTAATTTTCTGTTGTTTTTTTTGCAGGAAGTTCACTTCCCTGTCTGTGGAAGACCACAGGGTGCTGTTTGTGGGGCTTGAACCTATAATGTCACTGAGTGCAATGATAGGTGCCAAGGTAAAGTGTGAATGACTATGGTTGGTTGTTTAAGCAGCCTTAATCCTGCTAAATGTGTGTGCACAAACCATCTATTGTTCATTTAATGAATTAATAGCGATCCTCAAACTGTAATACAAAATAGTAATACAGATAACTCTGTATAGGGTAAAGAATGCATTGTAATGAAGTTCTCTCCCTTATATAAAAATTTGTAACAAATGTATTATCTCCCTTCTATAGTAGTTTGTAGAATGTGTATTGAACGGTTACTTTGATCTTCGAATAAAATTCAGTGTGTTTATTTGCACATCGTATAATAAATAATATAATTTTAAATTAAAAAAAATATGATTTGAATTATTTCAAAGATTTCTTGTGTTGTAATAAATTCTTTTTAACTTTATTCTGGACCAAAGTCTTGTTTTGGGTAAACCTTTTAGCAGGTGTATATTTTCATTGTATTTTTTTTCTTTATTGACCTGGGAGTTAATCACTGATAAAAAAATTGCTATAAAACCACTTTTTGGAGATTTGATCTCGGTTTTTGGTTTTTGATGAACAAAAAATTTGAAGGGTTAGATTTAGTAGATTCTTATCCAACAATGTTTGTAACTAAGTAAATTCGTATGAAGAAAGAAAAAAAATTTTGGGAAAATCTTATCATATTGTTTTGTTCTGAAACAAAGGGGAAAATAACCCAAAAAAGAAATAAAACCTGTTTTTAAAAAACAAAGTTTTTAAATCTTTTGCTAGAAATTTTATATTTGGCAATTTGAATTAATTTTCCTAAACATATTAGTCTATGCTTGATGGAGAAATTACATTAATCTCTTACAAGTCTTCTTCCTGCAACTGACCTGTACTCACCAGGTGTCATATGTCAGGAAACTTAGTAGTGACCCAAGTAGGATTCAAACCCACAGCCATAGCTTGACAGGCAGACCCCTAAACATTTTTGAGACCCCAGTTCCTTATAATCCTGGATTAAAAGTTTCATTTATAGGTTTTTATTTTTTTCCCTTTAAACCCAATTTTTTAACAAAGCCCCTGAAAAAAAAGAAAATTTACCCCGTGGTTTGTTTTTTGGAATTTATTTTCTCCCAAATTTGGGTTTCTGAAATTTAAAATGTTTTACCCAAGAAGCCAGAAACCCTGAATAAAAAAACAATCGGTTTTTTTAAAGTTTTTACCCCTTTCCCCCATTCCCCCTGTTTTGAACTGAACGGGGTTTTAGCCTTTTTTTCCCCCATTTATACCCCTTTTTCCCCCATCTGTGCATTTTTGACCAAGCCCCTTTTCCTGGTTATTGGCCGCCCCCCAACATAAAATTTTTCCCATCTTGATGTCCCTTTAAATTTTTAAAAAAGGGACCCCCCCTGGGAAAAAAGGGAAAGGGTGGCCCCAGTCCATTTTGCATTCAGCAGGTTAAGGGTTAAGTACCATTTTGTTTGACCATCCAATTAGTCAGTCAAGATAAAATAGGTCTGTTCCTAAACCATAAACATTTTCTTAATATTTGAAAAAAAAACAAAAAAACTTTTTTTATATCAAAGCAATTATGGTCTAAAAATGGATTTTTGAACTCTGAACTTTTTACCATTCAACTTTGATTGACTTTTTATCTTTTTATATAGATAATGGCTTAAAATCCAATTAAGATTGAAAAAAAATTATTTTGACAATTTCACGAGGACAGAAAGGGGATTATCATCTCAAATTATGATCGATGATAGATAGTTAGATTGCGGGACATCCCTGTAATTGCCTTAATATTCAGTTAACCTTTTGACATTTTATTGTCAGATAGATTAATTGAAGGATTTTCTTTTCTATCTAAGTTTTCTTTGATACATACAGATAATTTACCTATAGTAAATAATTTATGTATGATGATCAACACAGTTTTGTTTGATTTATTTATTTACCATTGTTTGTACATTTCTTGTGATAGAATAATAAATTATGTATTGTAAGACTGTTTTGTGATAATTGTTTCTAAAAAATAAATCTGCAAATTTTAGTTGTGAATAATGTTATAATAGTTTCATCAGTTATCAGTTATATTTTCGTTTTTGTGATTAAAAAATATTTTGAAAACAGAACTTAGAAGATTCAGTTGTGTTGGTTATATAATTGTAGAAAAATTGAAGTAAAAATGGCCTTTCTAAGCGGACACGCTATTTTTTTTACGGCAAACGACAGATAATGGTTGGATTAAATAACTGTGTTTTTTGATATAGAGATCAAGCGAAGCTCAGAAAGTGAAATTTAAGAATAAATTAAACTTTTAAAAAGGAAATAATTAGGTCAAAATCTTTTTGTTGCATGCCTATGAATAATTAAGGGTACACACTTTTTCTGCGGTAGAGCGACTCCAATTTCACAGGTATGTTATTTCAAGATTTATATAACCGAAAGTGGTGTTGACCTTTTTATCATCAGTTTATTGCCACATATAAATTACGATGTTTTAAGTATACAGCACACCCATTTAATTAAACTCATCAACTTTTTCTTGTGATGAAGTAAATTTAACCCTTTTAACCTGCCAACCGATTTTTTTAAAAATGGCTTCCCCGGGTTCATTTTTTTTGGAAGACCATTGTTTATTTTGGGTTTTTTTTAAAAATCAAAAGGTAAAGAAATTTGGGACCCAAGCCCCCCACCAAGTATTTTTTTGGGGTCGGGTTCCCAAGTTCTGTTTATTTTTATGGGTTTTGGCTCGGGTACTGGTTAACATGCCTAAACGTTTATTCACCCCCCCTTTGACCCCCCCCAAAAGAGCTGATATTTTTCCTTTTGGCCCTAAAACCCCCGTGCCTTTTTGGCAGAATTAAATTTTTGGGAATTAACCTGTTTTTGAAATTATTGTGCCCAAACCATTTTGCTTAATAGGTTTGAATCCCTCTTGAAATTTCCCAAAATTCCTCATAAAGGGGGAAATTTGTTTTTGTGAAAGAATTTTGGTTGTCCATCCGTGTTTCCAAACACATTAAATAGGGCCTGAAATTTCCCCAAAAGGGAAGGAGCATTCCTGCATTCCCAGGAATGTCTTCACCAGTAACAGAAAACCATTCCTTCACCAGACATAATGTTTAAATATTGAGCACTTATTATTTTGCTTTTTCAGTTTTGAATAAATAAGGTAAGGTAAAAACCATTCTATTGAACTGGTACAGTTTGTATTTCCAGAATATTTGATATTATATAAAATATAAAAGTTTTAAAAGAAAATCTGATTCATGAAATTGTTTAAGATGTCCTTAAAAAATTAAAACCACAAAAATGATAGAACATAGCAGAATACATATAAAGTAAATAGGAAGTACATATGGCCTAAAGCTGAAGGAAAAGGTATGCAGGTAAAAATTAGTATATGTACAGTATATGATTAATTGCTGATTCAGTTTATATGTTCCCCGAAAAGTTTCGGGGGAGCATATAGTCGTCGGGTTGTCTGTCGGTCAGTACGTCAGTCAGTCCGTCCGTATGTCCGTACGTCCCGAATTCGTGTCCGGCCCATAATTTCGTTATTTGAAGTCTGATTTTACAACTATTTCACACAAATGATCACCATATTGAGACAACGTGTTGCACGCAACATTTGGGTCACTACTCTGAAGGTCAATGTCACAGCATGAGCATCACCTGGTTCAACTGGCGCTTGTTTGTTTGTTTTTTTGAAAATATGAAATTTTTATCATGGTGTTGATTACAATAAACTTTGCTTACTCTTAGCCTACAGACAGCAACTGATTTCTACCCATGGGTCCGGTGCAGATCAAGATCAGCATACAAGATATCAGCCAGCACAATGGTGCTCGGCACAATGGTTGCCATTTGATCATGGTCTGCACTGTTACAGTACATATGTTGGAATTTTTCTTAACACTGATGAATGGTTTTGTCCATATTGAAAGATGGTCAAGTACATTTAAGATATTTAGGGTGTTAAGGGTTAAAGTAAACATAATAATTAGGTTTATATCATATTCTTTTTTGTTATTGATACTGATTCATTGGATTAGTCAGGAAGAAGTACATTTATATGCTAGGTCCTTAAATAGTTAAAGGCCCAACACATATGATTGAGCACATGTTTTGTCTACAATGATTTTGTGAAACAACAATATGTCTGTTACCAAAATGATTCCAGTTGATTGTTTGGAAATGTAACATTTTTGGCAGTTATATAACTTTGAGAAAAACGTCTGTATGCATTGGGGCACCAGTACACCAACTGTTACATAACTGATATGAATTAGTTTATATACAGATACAGGATACTGCAAACATAATATAAAACATCTTGAGGTACATGTATTTAAATAATAAAAAAAAATACTTTTTTTTCTAAATATTTTCCTCTTATATAGCAAGCAAGGCAAAATTAAAGGCATAAAAAATATTTGTAAAAAATTAATGAAATGCACGATTTTTTTATACAAATAGTCTTTTCAATCTTTACTGAACAGATGTTTCTGTATGTCTTTTTTTATTCATTTTTTATGTGTAAAAAATCATAAATTTTCTTTCTCCAGAAGATGCTTTTTTATATGAAAGTTCACAAAAAATCCGATATAAGTTATTTCTCATAAAGTGTGATGAGTTATTAAAAGTAATACTTAACTTGATAATAAGTTTTTTAAAGGTCATTAAAATTTTTCAGTTACCCGTAAAAAATTCAAGCAACCGAATTTTGTTACAAAGATGCAAAATATACATTATCATTATGTTGATACTAAAACTTTTACCACCTTTTATCAACTGGCCCGTCACAAAGTTTACTATACTGAAGATTTTTGTATTTTTGTACGCCTAATAATCATGTAATATACTCGCAAAAATGTTGTTTCTGTGTCAATCGGGGCAAGGTGTTTTATGAATGGTTGTTAGTTTTTATAGTGATCGCAACATAATAAAAGCAAAACTCTTCAAACTGATTTTAGTTTAAACGATTAAACTAGATTAAGCATATCTTTTTTGTGTTATTGATTTTAGTTTGAAATAAAAAAAAC